ATTTAGAGAAACACAAAATCATCCTAAACGGAATAGAAAAATGTATCTCGAGGTATGTAAAGAACGCGAGCTAAGTTGAAGGTTCATTTCATGAAGAGTTTAATTGTAACAAAACTCCTGTGGAAGATATAAATTATAATTTTTACAAAATATACACAAATGAGCTTCTTAATGGTAATTCAAAATATGTTGATGACAGCCGGATAAAAGCAAAGTCTAGTAGACCAAACACTATTGAGAAGTGGGAACATATTTTTAATATAGGGTTAAGCGATCTAGATGTAGAAAATACATTTCAAACAATAAATACTTTATGTCTTGTCACAATCTCAGTTTTGTATATAAATATCCCCATAGGATCATATTCACAAATGATAAATTATTCAGAATTAAAAAAGTAAATAACACACTATGTACCTCTGCGAGTCAATATAGAAACGGTGGAACATCTCTTTGTGTTAAGTTCTTCCTCACAAATAATATGGAATTATTTTAATACTATCATAAATCGCACTGATATAAAGATTAATATAACAAGCAAAGTCAAGCATCTTGGTCTCACTAACAAACCCTATTATATAAATAACACCAATGGATCTTCATTAATCAGGTAATTATTTTAACTAAGTTGTATATGCATCGGACTAAATTACGAAACTAAATATAAATAAATATGAAAACTTCTCAACAGAAAATGCTAAACTGGAGATAGAAATATCTCCGGAAAAAATATAGAAATAAATGGCAATATTTTTTAAATAATTAAAGAGGCATTATTGGAAATTACATAAAGAACTGGCAGTTCGCACTATAATAGTTAAAAACTAGATAACGTAAAGGGAATTTGCTGAAAATTTCAGTCAAATTGATCCACTTCAAACCAAGATATTAGCTTTTGAATTTTAGGCCTAGCCTCGATCATCATTACTAAAGTCGGTACGATTATCTATTTTTGGATTAAATCATCAGTAGCAAATTGGATTCAAATCCAGTAAATATCACAAGCTAACGATGACATCGAGAGTTGATTATGATCTGGATAAGTTAATTAATGTCTAATTAATAAATTAGATAATATTTCAGGCCCAAAGAAAGACCTGCAAAGAGAGAGAGAGAGAATCGGACCCAAACTGCCTGACAAAATGGTAGCTCCTTGTACACAAATATTATAAAAGTGTAATACCAAGGTTGTGGACACTCTAAAGGCCACTATTTTGATCTAATTTTGATGAAACTTTAAATTTATGTTTATATAACAAAGGCGTTGGTTTCTTTCAATAATCACGCACATCCAAACGTAACTTCCTGGATTATGGCCCCTGATTGTTAAAAAAAAAACGCATTTCTAGCTTGTGGAACCGCTAGAAGTCACAATTTGTATTCAATTTGTATTCAATTTTAAAAAACGTTTAAATATATCACAGTTACACATCAATGTAGGATGAGTTGGAATTTCGTAAAAATCTGACCCAAACTGCCGGACAAAATGGTCGCTGCTTGTACGCAAATAGTGTAAAAGTCTGTACTGTAAATACAAAGGTTGTGGACACTCTATATGATATATGGTATATCAAGATTGTGGACCCTCTAGAGGTCACAATTTTGATCGTATTTTGATGAAACTCGAAATACATGTTTATAACACCAAGATCTTTTTTTATTTCGATATTCGTACATATCGGATAGTAACTTCTTGAAATATGGCCCTTGATTGTACGAAAAATAACTTTTTTAGCTTGTGATCCCTCTAGAGGTCACAATTTGTATTCGATTTAAAAAAACATTTGAATATATCGCCGTTACACCCTAATGATGTTCGAATTTCATGAAAATCAGACCGAAACTGCCTGACAAAATGGCCGCTCCTTGTTCCAAATAGTGTAAAAGTATGTAATACCAAGGTTGTGGACTTTATAGGAGTCACAATTTTTATCTGATTTTGATGAAACTTAAAATATATCTTTATATCCCAAATATCTCAGTCCATTTCGATATTCACACATTTCAGACCATAACTTTCTGGATTATAGCCCCTGATTGTACGAAAAATCACTTATTTTTTAGCTTGTTCTCTATCCATCTCTTGCAAAATGTGGGTGTATCTTGCCTGGCAACTGCTGGTTTTATACATTTTATGAAGAGTGTTTCACTGGTATCCACTTAGCAAGATAAATCTAGAAATATCAGAAATCACTATTTATACATAAAATGATCCTGTGATGTAAAGGCCTGCTGTGTTAAGGGGGGAGGGGCATGAACCTAAAATGCCCGAATAAATTTTGGGTTACAGATGACGTTGCCGGTTGTCTACAAGAGGTGAAGGAGCGCAGCGGAGCTGACCCCTGGCTTGTATGCCAATGGCCTTCATTTTACTCGAAAACAGATATTGAAAATATTGTTGTCATTTTTAAAACGATGCTCCACAGGCATGGAGGCAGAATCATTTCATGGGAATGGTCACCCTTTTGTCTGCAACCATTTTGTTGAGAAGCCACAACGATGTCTCGGTCACCTAGAACCTCCTAGTCTTCAGGGGGGTGTTGGATGGCCAAATGGTTAGCACGTGCGCATTGTATCATAAAGTCTGTCATTGAGTCAACTGGTGTGATTTTGATTCCCCGGTTGTACATAACAAGGAGTAGGGTCGCCTGTCCAACCTTGTGGGTTTTCTCTGGGTCCTCTGGTGTTCTTCCACTGCTAAAGACCCTACGCGCAAGCAAATTATTGAAATAAAATTGAACCATATGTTAGTCCCGAAATTACCTACTTTGTGTCGAGTGGACATAAAGCCCATTTTTCTCTCTCCTAGACTTCAACATACAGAGAGTCTGGGTCAGTGGTGAACATTTGCTTAAAAGTTCCTTTGCCCATGTGTAACTAGTCTCTATCATGCAGAAAATTATTCTACTAATATGAGTCTGGATGTGTTGTCAACATTTTGAGAAAAATAGGTCATTGGCTAGATTATCTGGTCTTTTACATTATCATAAACAAAGTTTAAGACAGGTAACTGGTCCTAAAACAAGATTTCGACGCCGATGAAATTAATTCAAGAATGACATTTTCAAAAAATCCATTTGATTGCATGCCAGTTCAATATCCAACACTCTTTTTTGCTCCGCCTTTTAAAGAAAGCAGGGAACTATCTGTCCGTCCGTCCGTCCATTCGCTCGCCTGCCCGTCATACTTTTTGGGACACAATAAATCTCTTTCTTGTTGAGCTAGAATGTTCAAACTTGGTGTAGGTGTTTATGAGGTCAATGCCTTGATGGAGTTCGAAGATGAGCATTTTCTGCTTAGGGTAAGCAGAGATAAGCAATTTGATTGGTTGATGGTTTGGATATAATAACTTTAGTTCTAATTAAGTGAGAGTGATGAAACTTGGTGTATAGTTTCATTACATCAATACCTTGACTAGGCTCGATAATAAGCATTTTCTGCTTAGGGTAAGCAGAGCAATAAGCATTTTGATTGGTCGAGACGTTGGAACACTATAACTCTCATTCTAATTGATGTAGAATGTTCAAACTTGGTCTAGGCTTTCATTAGGTGAAAGCCTTGATGGAGTTCAATGATGAACATTATATGCTTACAGTAAGCAGAGATAAGCAATCTGATTGGTTGATGTTTTGCGGCACAATAACTTTGGTTCTAATGAAGTGAGAGAGATGAATCTCTGAATATAGATTCATTATATCATTACCTTGACCAAGTTCGATGGTGATAATTTTTTGCTTAGGCTAAGGAGCGAAAAGCAATTTGATAACAACTCTGCTTTTAATTGAGGTAGAATGTTTAAACTTGATGTGGATGTTCATTAGGTGAATGTCTTGACTGAGTTCAATGATTAACATTTCGAGCTGAAGCTAAGCAGTGCTAATCAATTTCATTGGACGATGCTTTGGGACAAGATAATCTTGATTCTATTTGATAGAGTGATGAAACTTAGTGTATAGTTTGATTGGTCAATACTTTTGAAAAAAATAAATGTGTCATTTATTTGTTTTGGGATTTCGGCGGGGGACATCAGCCTCACTGTTGGCTTGTTTTTTTTCTTGTAAAATTTCTCTCTACATGGGCCATATCTATGTTTTTAAAATTAATCCTAATTCGTCATCACAATTTATATTTGTTTATATTAATGCAATAATTATGGGATTTATTGCAGGAAGGGGTGCAACTCTTACTTGACTTGGCCAGAAGATACTGGATAATGAACCACATTAAAAACTCCCGGTTATGCATGGGCAATGGAATTTTCGTCAAATAATGACAATGGTCCCAGACCCTACGTACGTTGAAGACTAGGAGGTTCTGGGTGACCAAGACTAATACGTAACCGAAAGGTTTTATTTTATATATGGTTGATTATCCAGTAAATTTCACCTTGTCAAGTAAGAGTTACGCCCTTCTCGAAATAAATCCCATAATTCATGCATTATTATAAACAAAAATTAGGATTAATAGAATAACATAGTTATGGTCCATGAAGAGATAAATTTTACAAAAAAAAAATAAGAGTATTGGATATTGAACAGGCAATGCAAATAGATTTTCTGAAATGACAATTCTTAAATTAATTTCTTGTTTTAGGGCCAGTTAGTTACCTCCCTTAGATTTTTTTTCTGATAATGTAAAAGACCGGATAATCTAGTCAAAGACCTAGTTATTCTCAAATGTTAACAACCCATCCAGACTAATATTTGTAGAATATTTGTCTTAATGATAGAGACTAGTGACACCTATGACTCTTTCTCCTTGATTAACCAGCTTCAGTAATTAATCAAACAATAGCCATAGTAAAGAGAAATATAGTTCAAGCTGAAAAAATAAAATAAAAAGATCATGGAAAAGTGCAATAAAATTTTTTAGCTAGTCGGTCAGGTTTGGTGAAACAGCTGGTGGTCATATGTTTTGTTGCATGGCAACCTGTGTTTGCTACCTTCACTTCTAATGGTCATCGAACTCAGTGAATGATTTTGTATATTTTGATATTTTAGGCCGTTCCACTGACAACTGGTATACCTGGTATGTTAACTAATGGACGCATGATATTTATTAGTGGTGTACCACCACCTAATGTTTCTAGGTAAGTCACATGTTGGCGGTTGTAAACACTTAATACTGGGTAGTTAAAATGGGTATATAGAAATACTGTAGACTAATCGTAGATATTGCAGCATGCTGTTTGTCATAAGTTTTGATTATTCATGCTATATTTATTTTCATACATTACTGATGGAATTAGTGTATTACAAAAGGTTGCATTTTGTTGTTGTTTGGTAAATTCAAGAATATCGATTGTCAATATGATACGCCCCACACATACAGCTTAATTCACAATTATTCTAACCAAATGAGCAATTCTGAATTTTGAAATGTCTGTGATTTCAGCATTTCTTTATTTTGAGTAGTACAGAAGAGTAGAGATGTTTTGAAAAATTGTTAAAGTCATCTACAGGTTCTGTCAATGTTATTTGATCATATTAAGTTATATTTTCTATTACAGGTTTTCTATTAATCTTCAAGCAGGATCAGACCTGGCTCTTCATTTTGATGTACGTGTCAACTATGGAAACACCCACAACCAAGTCATACGAACTCATCGTCAGTATGGAAATTTTGGACCCGAGGAAAGACAGCAACCTTTCTTCCCATTCATACCAAATGTTAACTTTGATATGATTATCTTGGTCGAACCACACTGCTATAAGGTAATTTTTTTTTGTTTCATAAAGAAGTTTATAATATTGATAATTTTGATTGGGCTATTTTTTTCTTGTAAAAGATTCTGGTATATAGCCAAACAATACATGGTTAAGTATTGGTCTTTCTTTGGGAAGATATTTTAGGATATTAGATAGAGAAAAGGTACAAAGACTGAGGAAATTTCAAAATCAATTACATATACATATCACAATACAATTAAATCATGGTCCATATTCAGGTCACAAATTTAACAGGAAAACCTACCGGGTAATTTAGATACTAAATATGTAAATAGTTTTGAATAGATACAATGCTCAGAGAGAAATTTAGAAAAGAAATTCCACAATTGCAACATTTGTTTTTATACCCCCACATTGAAATGTGGTCGTATATTATTGTCTCCCCCGTCCGTCCGTCCGTTGGACGCTCTATAGGCTAAAGTTAATATCCGATTGACTTTAAATTTATACACATTGTTTAAGGTCATGAGACGATAAAGCATATTGATTTTCAGCATTTTCCGATCATTACTGCCAGAGTTATGGCCCTTGATCACTTTGAAAAATCTTGTGACGCTCTAGAGGCTCTACTAAACGTTAGCATGGGGCAGAACTTTATAAAAACCAAACAAATTCTAATGGTTTTCTGATAATTACTTAATGAGTTGTTTCATTACCGAAAAAAGTAAAAATATGCGACATAGCTGCTGTGGGCGTATGTTTCGTTGCCTGGCAACCTATCTTTTTGGTTTTGTTTTGTGTGTAGTGCGGTTCTTCTGCAATTGCTAATAGAACTTTGGAAGATGAAAAGAACTGTAAAAAATTCATTGGTCAAATTGCTCAAAGTGTCTAATGGAACTAGAAGTGAGAAGAAATAAATTTGACCATTTTTGTTATCATTTTAAACAGTTTCTTTCTTTGAAATATTGTTTTAATAGATGTTCTGTTTAGATGAAATACCATCATTACATATCTTATTCACTTTTTGATTCTTTTAATTAACAGATTGCAGTCAACAACCAGCATTTCGTAGAATTTAACCATAGAATTCCAGTTAATTCTGTTACTTCACTTAATATTGATGGTGACCTGAGACTGACTCAAGTCCGTTTCCAGTAATTTATCGTCTTATTTCAACTCTCTATAAAGTTTAATTTCATTGATTATAAACTGATTTTCCTTGTATATCTTCTTTTTTAACCCGCAGTCTTTGTTTTATAAGTTTATATTTGTTATACAATATGTTATTGTTATAAATATAGAATTTAATCAAACCATTATTTACCGTACATAGTGCTAGAAAATAAAGTATATAAGAATATATAGACAGCTACCGGTACATGTTTTTGATATAAGTAAAATAGTTTTATCTAATACCAAAAATGTTCATTGATTTCCAATGCTACATAGTTGACTGTGTAATGTTAGGCTAAGAATACTGTTGGTATTAAAATTGGGATGCGAAACTTTTCTTATCCAAAAACATCTCAGCAATGGTTTTGTTCCATCTGTGAAATATTGTTTGCAAACTCACCTTGTGTGTATACACAGGTTTAATTGCATTTAAGGGGGTCATTTTGGAAGATTAGATAAAGAGCTGGCAGTTCTCACTACAATAGTTAAAAACTGGATAATGTAAAGGGAATATGCTGAACATTCAATAAACAGACAGGTTTATGGATATCATTCACTAGGTTTATTAACTGCAACGTTTCAGTGAGGATACTCTCACCGTTATAGTGATTTAATTTTAGGCCTAGCCTCAATCATCGTTACTAAAGTCAGTACAATAAAAAAACAAAATCTTGATTATCCATTTTTGCATTTAATCATCAAAGAGCGTTGAACAGCAGATCGGATTCAAATCCAATGAAAATTGGACAAATAAGATGGCATCCAGAGTTGATTATGGTCTTTTCATGTTAATAAATGTCTAATTAATAGTTTTTATAACATTTCAGGCCTGAAGTAAGACCTGCAATAGGCAGATTTAGCTCTTGCATAATGTATGTTTAATAAGGTTCTTTAGTTTCAATAAAGTAGTTAAATGATTTTAGCACTGTATGTGTTTATTCCTTAGTAAATTTGTTTGTATGTTCTGTAGAGTATTTGTTAACAGAAATGTTAGAACTGTAGTCAGGGGTGTAAATGTGGGAGGTGGTGTGAGAAAAATAGTCGATCTCAAAATAAGTCAATCAGTTTCAAAATTATTCATTGGCAACTAAATGAATTAATTAGGTAAACAAACAATGCAAAGGGAAAAATCCCAAATACTCCATATTTATATATATGAATATATCTGTGTTTTTGATTGCTTTGATTGGATATCACAATACGCACCAGTTTTTCAAAGCTCAAATTATTAATAACTGTTATGCGTTCAGTAATGAAACAGTAACTCCTCAATGAACTATTGACTTATATCTTTGCTAATTTGTGTATATTCACCACAACAATATATCAAAGATATAGGTCCATGTAAATGATGATATGATCACTTTCATATGTTGACACAGATTCACAGTACTTTGTATGTTCTGGCAAAATTCTTAATAAATAACATAAATAGTACTCAATTTTGTTCATGTTAGAAGTGTTTTCTGACCATCAGAATTCTGCAAAATCCAGGAAATGGCATTTCAGGGACTCTAGATTTTAAAAATTTCTCACCGGGAGCATGGCCCTGGCCCCCTGCTCCCATAAAGCTCTGTTCGTGGCTGCATCACTTGTATTAGGGACCTGTGCATCAGTCAGTCTCATTTTTGCTACCCCCCCTCCCCAAACAAAATTGATATGTACTCCCCTGACTAGTAATTGTTAATATTGACACTGGAATTTCAATTTTGTTCATTGTTTAGTGCTCAAATTAATGTTTTTGTAATATTTTGAACTTTGATTTAATCAAATAAATATACTATTAACATACCGGTAATTTAATTTAATAACTGATCATGCTCAGATGACATTATTTAAGCAATTCATAATCTCAAATACATATAGATGTTTAGAAAATGTAAATAAAAAACAAAATAATATCTTCAAGCATAGGAAAACTTAAGACAATATTTCTGCTCATATATAATATTGACAATAAATAATGATATATTTATACAGATGTACTGGAGTTTGTATGTTATATCTTCTCAAAGAATTTGTGGCAGGGTGATGGTTTAGGAATGTAACTTGTGCCTTTAAGAGCAAATTATGCTAGTTAAGGGGAAAATATTGAAACATGAATTCCCCATAGCTTGTGATTTTAGAATGGGATTTAAAGATTACATGTATGTCCCTCATGTCTTTATTTTGCATTCAGTATCCTCAAATGTTTATTAAATTTAGTTTTGTAATTTAACATGACAATGTTAAGCTTTATGATTTAGAGGGAGAATAGAGGGATAGATGTTAAATATGTATAAAATGTCTGCAGTACTGCTAGTCATATATCTTCCTGCAAAATTCATCATATCTACAATTATATGCTTTGACCAATTATGTTTTGTCTAGTAGCAAACACCACAGATTTCGCCTTAAAGGCCTTACCCCAAGGAATACTCTAGAGTTGTTATTGATATTTGCTAGAGTGGTGGCCGTACATACATATGCGTAATGCGTATGGACAGAGGGATGGGGCAACTGCCTCCCCCTCAGATATTTTGGGCAGACGGGTAAAGTTGAAAAAAATTAAATAATATCTTTTGTGGGAAAAAACTTTTTGCCTTCAAGATGGAAAAATAAAGTGTCTGATGGCGCGATAGTTTTCAGCCATCGATCATTATTTGTTTCATTTAATTTTTCACACAGATTCGGTCCGACTAGTTAAGTAGAAGGGGAAAAAACAAGCTTTTGCCCTCTAGTCAGCAAATAAAGTGCCTGAAATCCTATTAGCATTATTTGTGTCATCAACACCTCCTTTACAATTAATCAAAGGACATATGAATATTATATATATATATACTATCATTGGACTATAACATCACTATATATAGTGATCAGGACAGCTAAAGCAATAAAATCAGGATAAGCACACGAATGTGATTTACACAACAAAGCTTGTTAATTATAAAATCTTTCAGATTCTTTTAAGAATTTCTGACGTATTCTAAAAATCAAGGAATTCAAAGGGTATTGCATATTTCACCATATAGTAATGTATTTGAATTTAATGAAGGCATATCTATATTTAGTTTATGGAGATCAACATGCATATTTCTCCGCTCTCTCGTAAAGTTCGCAAGAAAAAAAGAAATAAACATTTTGGATCTGGAATCAGATTTGCAATATACAAATCAGATTTCCGTGTACTGCATTTGTTCCATAATCTACTATGTAGAATATTAAATTGCCTTGATTGTTTGTTTGATTGAAATTCAGATGTCCTATATTGGACCACTTGTAGGTGGCTGTATTCACGTGCTGAAATCACAGGCGTCTGAAACGTAGAAAATCTCTTTAAGTTGTGACGAAGTGAGCGAGATCATAAAATAACTGCTCTGAATCATCTTAAAACATTTTAACATAGTTCGAACCCCAGTCAATTTTACTGGGTAACTTTTTACTGCTAATTGGTCGCGTGTCAGTCCCTGTGAATGCCTGTACAATGTAAAGTAAGGTAAGCAAAGTCTTATTTTCTCACGAAAATGTTCCTCTGATCGTTCCTGTTCATCCCTATTAAGCTGCAATATGAAAATACCACTCTACCTCCATCTCTATTCTAAGGCTATTTCGGAATCCTTACCTTATGTCACCGTGATTTTTATACGCCCACATTTTCATGTGGACGTATATTGTCGTCGCCCCAGTTTGTCCGTCCGTCCACAATTTGTTTGTGGACACTCTACAGGTCACAATCTTTATCCGATTTCAACGAAACTTGAAATATAGCTCTATCTCCCTAAGATCTTGGTTCCTTTCGATATTCGCGCATATCGAATCGTAACTGCCTGGATTATGGTCCCTGATTGGTCGAAAAATCACATTTTTAGCTTGTGGATTCTCTAGAGGTCACATTTTTTTTTCGATTTTAAAAACCGTTTAGATCACTATTCCACCATAATGAAGGTTGAATTGGAATTTTGTGAAAATCGAAAGGAAACTGCCGACAAAATGGTCGCTCTTTGTATGCAAATTGTATAATAAGTATGTAATTCAAAGGTAATGGACCCTCTAGAGGTCACAATTTTTATCCAATTTTGATGGAACTTAAAACATATCTTTATATTCCAAAAATCTCAGTCCCTTTTGATATTTGCGCATTTCAGACCATAACTTTCTGGGTTATGACCCCTGATTGTACAAAAATTCGATTTTGTTTTTAGCTTGTTCTCTATTCATCTCTTGCAAAATGTGGGCGTATCCTGCCTTCCAGCCGCTGGTTGTTTTCTCCAAAAGGAATCATTTTTGGCCACATTCAACACTATTTTCTAGCAGAATCTTGCGGACAGCAGTAAAAATGACGTTTCCGAATCCTACCTTTCTCATGCAGTCAGGCAAGCTTTTGATAAGATAATATTAAAATGCTGTCCCTTTTTGTGAATTGTTAGATTAAAATCCACGATCAACTTTAAAAAAAAAACAACAAAAAACAGCACACGTGTATGAGCGGTTCGGCCAAAAGCTTCATGTAAGTCCACAGTTAAAGAACACTGCCCAAAAGGCTCGATTTGGATCACCACCAAAGAGAGTTGCCTCCCTTCCATCAGAAACTATAAATATGGTGATAAACGTGCTAATAAATTAGTGAGTTTTTAAAACATGTGTTTTACTGTGAGTTTGGTTTTCATTTTGAGTGAAGCCTGCTATCATTTTAAACTTCCAGGTCCACACACTTGCAATGTGTGTGTAGTTTGTGTGTCTTGTCCGTAGGTTTGTCCTGCACTTACTGATAGGGTTTTACGTATGGCTACACCAGTGGTTTCCCGAAATGTTGCCATTAATGTTTATTCTCGTCTCTTTAACCGTCTTTAACCTTCCCCAAATTATCGTTGGAATCCACGCTTTCTGTGGAAAGCAGCGTTTTTCTCAAAAGCACCATAAGATAGTAGCTGGTAGTCCTCGAGGCTTTCGGAAGAATATCCATTTGACGGAGTAATGTTTGTTTTCAGATTTAGACTAATCAGACATCACTTCCGGACTTAGCAAATGAAGAATGTCAGTCATAATAATTAATCTGGATATTAAAAGAAACCGCCCTAGATATAATTTAGTTAATTATACGGGTTAATTCTGAGTGAAAACCTTAGAAATTGATACTTATACAACTATATGAAGATTTTTTTTCCAGAAATAAGAATGTTCAGTTACCATATAATAATGTGTCCCAACTTTCCATGCCATTCCTTATTTGCCTTTGGCTGAGAATGTTCAAGGGTTTTTCCGACATGGTTTCCCCTTGTCAGCGGTGCAGGACGGAGGGCCTGACAAGGACAGCTGTCTAGTCGTTCGGATGAGACGAAAACCCGAGGTCCCGTGGCGTGCACACAAAAGATCCCTTGGCAGTTGGAATTCGATATAAGAGTAGGCCATAGTGCCGCTGCCCGGGAAAATTGCCCCTCAGCACACTGTATGGCGTATGCCCATCTTCATTAGCTCAGTCGGAGCAGAACAGTAGGACGTTAAACCCCATTTCATTTCATTTCCCTTATTTGCCTGGATAGTCATACAGTACTATGTCTACATTGTGGCATTAGTGAACAACGGAATTCCTTAAATTTGTTACGCAACCTCGTGAAGCAAATCTCTTGATCACTTCGACCGGCCCAATACTTAGACCTGAAAATTTAGACAAGCTATTTGGTAGTATCTCTTAACATCTTAGTATCGTTAACGTAGTATACTTAAATTAACTTTTTTATGAACGGGTATCCCTCGAAATCGATGACTGCGCTTTTAAGAAAATAAAAACGGTTTTACGAAATAAACAATCAGCAGAAACCCTACGATCACTCCAGCGCCAGAAATTAAAAAATATACACCGAGAAACAAAAATAACCCTTCCTGTGATGTTTAAGTCATTATTACCTCATAGAATGTGTCTTAAGGAAATTGTCATGCGCAAATGGAAATACTCGGGTAATCAGTTGTCATTATCATGTCAATTTCTGACAAAGATTAAATACTTTATGAAACATTCTAAAAATATTTTTTAGGCAAATAATGAATGTGGAAAATGAAAAGGCAGAAGGTTTTCTACTTAATGGTGTCTGGTTTTACAAGTTTTGCATAGATCTTTATAGAGAAAACATATGACGGGGAGGGGTTCTTTACGGACCATGATTTGGTGTTGAACCGTCAACGAGTGTCGACACAGTGGAACACCCAGTATTGCAACTGGTTTTTTTTCTTTAAACACATATGATATATGAGTGACAGAAATACCACATTATGTCGCAATTTGTCAGCGGTGTCAGTATATTTTTTCATCGCTTTCACTTTTCAAATGTAGATATGTAAATATTTAAACACGATGCATATCGGGGCCTTTTTCACTTGTTTAGAATTCTTGCTAATAGATTGTATACATGTTACATTACGATTTCAGGAGTCACTTAGAGCGAATTAGAAGTTTCGTGGACAAGTTCTGTCGCTTCTCTTCATTGTGTTATCATCCATAACACCTTCCAAAACTATTTTCTTGGCAGGAGCATGTAACTAGTTGTTCAATTACCAATGTAATGCAGGGCAGAATTTACTGGTTGCCCAACAGCAATATAATTGAAATTTGATTACAATTTTGTATAAATTATTTTTTAGATTTTATACTCCATTGCAATTATAACCAACTTTCTATCTACAATTCTAACCAATAACCACTCAGAATTATTCTGATATACGCTTACTCATAATTCACCGCAATATCTAGGCAATGGGCTGAATCCCTACTTGTTAACATGTCAGATTTCAATGTAGTACAGGATATAAAATACAACGAAAGGTAATTAACATCTGATTTTTATCAGATTGACACAGGCTCTGATAAAGACATTTTGACGCGCTATAATACTTAAAAGAGCATGGTCGTGTCACCATGTATGTAATCCAAACCATGAAATAAATGATGAAATTACAATAGTTTTTATCTAGATTGTCTTGTCACAATTCTAAATTAGTGTGTTTTTTTATTTCTCTTTTGAAACCCCCTTCCAATAAATATTAACCGCTGTTCACTATCATCAATGTTTAATTAGCTTAATGTATACAACTTTTTCGTAAATACATTATATTGAAGCTGAGAAAGTTTACTACGTTCGGTTTGTTCCTGTGTGGCTGATTGAACGAATGGGCAGATGGGAGAAGGTGAAAGGTCAAACGATATCGAGTACAACACGGTATGAGTAAAATGTTATAATCGTATTAAATTGCGAACCTACTGGATGACCTCATCATTCTGTGATTACATTTACAAGAACCCGGTTCTACAAGACTGAAACATTATTCATCTGGGTAAAATTCTTTTTTATGGAATAATTTTTTGTGGCAGATTTTAATATGATCAGAGAAGTCGACGAGAAAAGAGAAAAATAAATACCGAATATACTAGTAAACAATACTTG